TAGAAAAACAAATAAGTGGAAAAAGAAAATATTCTCATGGAAAAAAGGCCAGGGATGTAGGACTCAGAAGTATAGTAAAACAAAAAAGGCAACAGTATGGACTAAGCATATTCTTGAATTTTATACTGGTTGTAGCAGTGGTGTTGATGGTTTTGGTGCTGGTACTGGTTATAGTGACTGCGTCAGTGCTGAAAACAAAAGGTAAAGATGAGCATAAATAAGAGAGTGAATTCCAAGATATTCTGGAAGAGAATGGAAGCAAAGGGAGGGCTGGTTGTATGTGTATACCTGGAACAGTAGTACATGTATTTGTGTTGCTCAAATGAGGAGCATGTTGTCTTGTGGTAGGACTTGTGTTGATAAGAGAGTTCTTTGCCTTCGTGTGGTGGGAGGAGTGTGTTGAGTGACAGCGTGGGTAGTGTTTCTGGTGAGTTTGGATGCCCCAGTCTATTATGCGATGTGACATTTTTTCCCCAACATGTGTGACTCTGGTAATTGATATATACAGATGAAACAATATATAAAGCTAATCTTATTCTTACTATGGTAAGTTCCTAAGAAGTCAGTCTCTTTATTAAGGGCTGCATATGTTGATCTTGACTGTCACTCATCTAAAATAACACGCTTTGTAAAACTCTTCATTAGTCATACCATGAAGGAGTGTATTATGTTATAGTAAACACTCAGTGCCAAAATATTGTGAATTGAAGACTGGAAAGGCGTAAGTTTACAGAGGAATTGAAGGAAATATATCAATTGTAATGTCGGAGATGTGCTCCAGTCGAGTTGTGGGTAACCAAAAAGGGAGAGGGAGGGTCGGCGAAAATAACAAACACAGACAGAGACCTCAATGCATCAATATGCACGTTCTCTCTCTGCTAGCTGTCAGCATGTTGCAGTTGGAGCACAGTAGAGCATGAGACAATGCCTTTTATTTAGATTTTTCTCCGCAGGGGGGTTTTTGGGGTACTATTTTTATTATATCAGCAAGCTTAAATCAATGGTCCATAAAGCAGAGAGGAAACTTTTTTAGAGGTCAGCATGTCTTAGGTGATCAACTAGTGCTTCTTCCTGGAATCAGGTTTATCAGATGCAAATCATCCCTTCATTGTCTTGAAGTTATCTTGTGACCTTTCTCTGTAGGAAACTGTGGTTAAGATCCAAGATCCACCCTGTTAACAGGGTGGGAGCCAAATGTAAAAGAACAGTGGATATTTGAGCAGCATTATCATGCACATTTTAAGGTTATGCATTTGCTATGGCCCTGTTATCTTGATCTAAATGTTAAAGTGTCCTTGTGCACAGCACCATCTTTCACAAAACCAGTTACACTCTTATATTTCTAAGATCTAATTAATAATTTTACAGCATATATATTTCATCCCAACACCTGATTCTTAATGATTTATTTAAAACTGGATATCACCAAGTAAAGGAGGTTCTACAGTTTTGTTCCCATATACTTAATTTGTCCCAATCATATAATTTCTCATTAATGCCAACCATTCTCTTGCCATTAATATAACCTCCAGCAAATGATGTTTGCCAACTTACATTAGGCGGCAGCTCATATTTAGTCATGAGCAGTGCTTTTGGAACATATGTTGGTGTGGTCAATTTATT